GGAACGGGAACTGGAGCGAGGGGCGCGGGGCGCGGGAGTAACGACACGTCTGACGTCAGAACAGGTCACGGGCGTCGCGGTAAACATGAGTAGTGGGGATAGAGTGGGGGTAAGGTGAATACACACGGTGCGCGGTCGCCGCCACGCCGCGGTCGGTTAGTTCGGTATGCCGGGTATGCGTATCGCATAAAGCCTACCCCTCTCTATCCCCACTGCTCATGTTACCAAGGCGCCCGCGGCCCGTTCTGATTTCTGATGTCGTTGCTCGCGGATCGCATATCGCAGAGTAATATAAGTACGAATCGCCAGGTCCGATTATTCAGATTACAGAAAAATGTGATACATCGAATGTTCATTTAAGGCCGGTTCTAATACAATCAGTCGTATGTCGCCTATGTCGGATGGCCCAATGAGAGAATTTCTTTTTCGATAACGAATTTTTCTCATTGGACCATCGGTTACGTTCCGACATCCGAGGTATAAATCGCATTCGATTATACATTCTTTCAGATAATCGGTCTCACTTTTCTTAACCGTCAACTTGACTCGCGTCTTGCGTTGTGTCGCGCAGCTTCAGAATAGAATTTCCGTCGTTTTCGGAACGGATAATTAAAGAACCCGAAATCAAGGCCATCACACACAAAATGCATAGCTTAGCATAAAGCCCCTTGCACAATGCCAGGCAACAGGCAATAGGAACAGGGAATAGAAATCAGAAATCATGTATAAATGCAGAATAAACAGTGACACAGGCAATAGACACAGAGTTTCCGTCACGTTGGAAATTCTGTGTCTATTGCCTGTTGCCAACCAATCATAGCATTCGAATCTTTTAGGTTGTAATTAACGATTTTTTGGTTATTTCCTGTTCCTATTGCCTGTTGCCTGGCATTGTGCAAAGGGCTTAAGACCCATAGAGATATAAGAATAGAGTGCGCGAGCGAGCTGAAAAAGCGATATAGGAATAGAAAGATAAAGCTGCGCATGAACCCCTTCTGTCTTTGTTTCGCTATGCGCGTGTAGACAAAGACAGAAAGGGCCTATATGCAGCGTTCTTTTTCTATTCCTATATCGCAGCCTCTTACGTGTTAGCATATGACTTACGCACTTTATTCTTATATCTCTAATCTATGATAAGACCAATGAGCATACAGCATAAAGTCGCCATATTGATTTACATAAGATGTTCATTGGTCCGTCCAGCGCGACGGTTTTATGCTATGCTTATGCAGCCTATGCAAGTTTGTGTGATAGCCCTAATATATCGAATGTTTATTTAAAGCCTTGTGTCCACGATGCTAGAAATCGCTCCGAGATCTCGGGCGGAGAAAGAATTAACCAATTGCATTGATCAATTGGTCGATTGCTTAAATGTGATTGGTCAATTTTTCCTCCGTCTGAGATCTCGAAGCGATTCTCTAGCATCGTGGAGACAGGGCTTAAAGCCCGTGTCACACTACGTATCGCGGACACGGATCGGATTGGGATTACGGATCGCGAATCGGATGTCAGCCAATCACAGATGAGTTCCTCGTCTATGATTGGCTAGATTACGATCCGCGATCCGCAATCTCAATCCGATCCGTGTCCGCGATACGTAGTGTGACACGGGCTTAAGGCTCCTGGATGGTCAGCCGAGAACTCTGCGTTGACGGTGGCGCCGCCACTCTCTCCTCTCACTCTCTCTAATGGAGAATTCTGTCTTGTGACATGTTGACAACCTATTTTGTCGTCCTTGCTATTTCTTTATTACTCGCTCTGTGCTTGTGCTCTAACGTTTAACGTATTCGTGAAAATCGTAAAATTGACCGAAAAGTAAGATTTGCATGCGGAAGTAACGTTTTCACCTCCTTTCGATAGTCGTTAAACGGCTGTTTTTCCCGTATGTTTAGGCTTTGTTTTATGGCTGTTTGTTTATTGTCGAGGGAAAAGGGTAGTTTTCGGTCAATTTCGGAAGTGTTCTGAAACGATCTATAGTGATGTTTTATTGAAATGTCTCTTTATTTGAAAATGGTACGGACGACAAAATTGGGTGTTTTCCTCGTCTCAATAGTGAGAATTCAATATGGCCGCGGTGACCATCCAGGAGCCTTAATACATGTGCTTCGCGGAATTAGATACGGATGTCGCATTTGATAATAGTGACTTTCTATTACGTTCTTTTGGACAGTTAATTTCGCTTTTCCCAACCGTCAACTTGATTCGCGTCTCGCCGTCTCGCGTCGTGTCGCTTGCGGCTCGACTTCAGAATGAAAACTGACCGGTGACCGTCGTCCATCGTTTTCGGTTTTCGGAACACGGATAAAGGGATCGAACGGACTCTACATCGAATGACGCCGCGACGTGTTTAATTAGCGATCACGGTCCCTATTAACGTACGTTTAACCTCATATTTAATCGTGTTTGACAATTTGGCGATCGTAAGAAATAGACACAACGTTTTTATAAGTCGATAATTTAATTGCAGTTAACCAAAATCGCCTTGAATTGATAAAATTGATTACCTAATTGATCACCTAATTTGAATCGCCTAATTGATAAAGTAGCGATCGTATTATTTTCGGTTGGCATGTTCCGCGGATATTTCTCTTTGATCTTTGATTTTAATTCATCAATTTATTCCTCTTACGTCGCTTATATTGCAACACGTAAAAGTAATCTCGGGCCGGTATTCATAATCGGTTCTTATATTTAAGACCATCTTAAGTACAATCTTAAGATGTCACTAACCAATCACAGAGCCGTATTAGCATCTTAAGATATTACTTAAGACGATCTTGAAATAAGATCTGATTATGAATACCGGCCTCGATGTTATTTATTGTTCAAAGTGCAAAAAGTACAGGTGTAGGAGGAGCAAGTAGCGTCCTCGCGACAGTCGCGACAATTGCTCTTGACGAGTGAAGTTGGCCGTACGGCCGCGGTCCGCGCGCGCGATTTGCTAAATTCCGCCATTAGATTCACTTGTCGCGTCTACCCGGTCTACTTGCGGGCTGCGGGACGTGGGACGTCATCGTCACGGCCGTCACGTCACGGGCGACAAGCGGATCGTACCTATAGTTCTTCCGCCGTAATTCTTTCGTCGCTGTATAATTAAGGCTGCGTTCGCGCTTTGGGCGCTTTCGTGCCGAAAGCAATCAAAGCGAACGCAGCCTAGTGTAATGAAGTACGCGCCGCGTCCGTGTCGTGAGATTAATACCGGGAAGTGCCATGCCTTTTTAGTGTCGCGCGATCATAAGAGTAAGAGACGATGTCGTCGATTTTCGCTCGTGAACGTCGTCTCCATGTTATCGTCTATCTGCGGGACAATGGACATCGCGGCACGGGCCCGGGGCCGACGTGGGCCGACGGGCATCGAGCGGATCATGCAGCTTCGTTCGCAGCTTCTTCGTCGTAATTTTTCCGTTGCCGCGTCGCGAGATTAATGCCGGGAGTGCCGTGCCTTTAGTGTCGCGCGATCATAAGCGACGACCGGTCGATTTTCGTGAACGTCGCGAGTGAAGTGACGCGACGCCACGTTCGTCTACCTGCGGGAGATCGCGGCACGGGCCGATGGACGTGGCGTCGAACGGATCATACAGCTTCTCCGCCGTAATTTTTCTGTTGCGTCGCGAGATTAATGGGTGCGTTCAGCCGATACTCCGCTAGCCTAGCAATCGTGAGCAGTCGCTCGTTTCCTCTCCTTTTAATCCATTGGGTCAAAGGAGAAGAAACGAGCGAAAACGAGCGACTGCTCACGATTGCTAGGCTAGCGGAGTATCGGCTGAACGCACCCAATGCCGGAAGTGTCGTGCAAAGTGTCGAAAATATCGCGCGATCATAAGCGACGCGATCTTATCGTCGATTTTCGTGAATGTCGTCAGTGAGTAGTGAGTGCGCCAACCGGCCAACGGACCAACGCTGCAACGGAGTAGGACCTGGTGAATCGTGGAGAGGAGGAGGAGGCCTGGGGAGGCATCGGGCGACGGCGGAGCAACCGTGGGGTGAGTAGTTTAATTGTTATTCATCTGTTACTTTGCTGTCCTGTCAGTCCTGTCAGTCCTGTGACGGAATATCCGCCACTTTCTCAAGTGCGCAACTTTTGATTCGTCCATTACATGATATTCGTTAATTAGATAATATTATCTTGGACACCTACTTTAATGTAAAAATATTTTTATGTTACAGATCAACGCAGGGTTACAACTTACAACTCCGCTGTTGCGCATCGGCCGGTGAGTTATTTTTTATGTATAATGTTTTATTACGCAAATCAGTGTTTTTCCGGTTCCGGTTTATTAAAATTCTTTTTGTGCGATGTGTGTGTGAACATATATCTAATTTTACTCATTTAAGGACTCTTCGCAAAAAAGAAAAATATAGTTTTGCTGATTAGACTTTCTAAATTAATGTTTATCTTCCTGCGAAATTAAATTTCTTCGTCAATTATGCTTGTTAATAAATGATTCAGGGTCATTGAAATCGACTCACGTCGGATAAAAAGGAACGCCGCGTATTTTGTGACGCGCAGAGAATCGCCATTTCGAGGTTCTATTCACAGCTGCTCTTTTTTCGTCTCACTCATCTTGATCTTTTGTGGCAGCCTGTTTGAAATACAACGCATCGACAATACAGTCACGAGTTGCAATTATTCACGCTGAGCTGAAATGAAGTTGTTAAAAAAAATACCTCAATTGACCAATAAGTACATATTGATAGGCTCTAGAATCCATCCATTTCCGATCCTATCCTTTTCAACGCAATAGATTATAATATATGCGCAACTTACAGTTTTTTCCGGTTCCGTTTTGTTAAAATTTTCTTGAAATTTTTATTAAATTAAATTATTTACATATGCATACCGCGTGTGCCACTGTAAAGTTGGCACCTCATTTTCAAAAATCGTCTGGATGTATCTTTTCCAGAAGAAACCTTTCCCCAACTTTTTTTTCTTTATTTTAATGAATTTTTGACTCAATGTGTTCCGTACAGAACATTACCAGCTTTTTTTATCCGCGGTTCTATAGTACTATAGTTTCGTGATTCATGTCTTTTATGTTCACGTTGCTTGTTCGTTTTTCCGTTATGTTTGTCTCGAGCATTGCCGGGAAGGCGCGGTTTTGTTCGGCGGGAGTGCGCTTGTGCGCCTGAGTCTCCCTTCCATCGACGGAGATCGTCACGTCGGAAAATTTCGAATTTTTAAAGGGCCGTTTAGGGACATCGGGTTTGCATTCCGGTGCTTCGTGTCGACGTGGTGTCTTGGATGTTGCATTGTTCAGTGTGACTTTGACTTCGCAGAGTATCGTGAGTTCGTCTGGCGGCGGGTCGTTGACCTGGTCCGGAGGAGGGTCTCTCCTGGCGAAATTTCGACACCCCCAATTCTTATTTTTGAGGGTTGTTTCTATATCAGTGCTCTCCATTATATGTGTTTTTTCTTTTTTGGCATTGGTGATACCGGATTGGAGTGTTGCATTTGGCATTTGTGACTTCCTGCACGAGGTCGGAGTGAGAGGTGGCGATGGGTAGTTTTTGGTTTCTTCTGTGCTTTTGGTGTGCGGTTCTGGGCGCCACCTTGCTTTTTGGTTGGCGCCTTCTAAGAGGGGTGGAGGCTTTGATTTTGTATTTGATTCGCAGCTTGGGGTTTTCGATTGTCCATTCATGCGACGGTTTTCGTATTTGGGATTTCGTGCGGCTTTTTGTAGCGTTCGACGGGCCGATACTGCGGGTGACCGACGGTCCAGCAGACATTTTTCACACTGATTACACACTTGTGTTAATTTCTCGACATCTTATGAAGTTAAAATTATCGCAGCTTGACGAAATTATCGCAGCTTATTGTACAATAGCCTTTGGGCTAAAGGTGCGATTTCATTGACGCTAGAAACCAGCGGCAGCGTCAAGAAAATGTAGTGGGGGAAGAAGTTCAGACCGTATCAACTTTTTAGCGTACCGCAAAATTCAACAGAACTTCTTCCCCCACTACATTTTCTTGACGCTGCCGCTGGTTTCTAGCGTCAATGAAATCGCACCTTTAAGCACAAGGATTGTCCGTTTACGGCAATCTTTGTGCATGGGCTCTTTCATGACTTACTTTTACTCTGGCTGCGTTCTGATTTTCAGTACTTGCAGTGACTCTCTGCAATGCTCTCCATTATATGTGTTTTTTTTTAGCATTAATGATACCAAATTGGAATATTGCATTTAACATTTGTGACTCCCTGCACGAAATAACTTACGCAAAGCTTATACGCAAAAACCCAATCATATCCGCGTATAACGCGGCGGGAGAAAAATAGCGTCGCGTAGCGAGCTCTCGGGTGTTGCATAAAATTCCGGATCGACGACAGGGATTTTCGTCCGATGCTTCAAAACATCTGTAGCATTAAATGGACTGCAGCCCTAGTCAGCCTACCTTCATTTCATCCCCACAATTCATGTTACCGGGGAAGCTGCAATCTCATTCTGATATCACTAGCACTGAGTGGGCGTAATCCTGTGTGATATAAAAAATTATAAGTTATCGTGCATTAACGAAGCAAGCATCGATCGCTCGCTCTTTATTGCTTTATTTTAATCAGGTGTTTCTGAGACGCGATGAGCGCGTGACATCTACACGCGTCGTTGTGCGATTATAAAATTGTTCTCAACATTTTCAAGCAGAAACCCGGACCGGATGAAAATATCGGTTCGATTTCGGTTTCGGTACATTAAAATACTTAATAAAGGTTTCGGTTTCTGTTTCGGTTTCTAGCTAACACAAGTATCGATATTGCGCAAATTACAGTTTTTTCGGTTCCGGTTTATTAAAATTTTTTTATTTGAAATTTGTATTAAATTAAATTATTTACATATTATCAGCTTTTTATTTAATGATTTACTTTTAATACGTAATTATGATAATAATTGTATCAATAATTATGTGCAAAGCATTAATGGACTTTAATTTAAAATTATAGATCTATTTTTCACATATATTTTGTATTTTGACAATTAGTAGTCCTGAGTAATGAGGAGGGGAGGGAAGTGGCTGACCACTTTTATTTACATAAATTACAAAAATATTTTTTAGGCTCTAGTAGAATCTATCCATTTCCGAGTCTATCCTTTTCAAGGCAATATTTATAATATATGCGCAACTTACAGTTTTTTTCCGGTTCCGTTTTGTTAAAATTTTCTTGAAATTTTTATTAAATTAAATTATTTACATATGCATACTGCGTGTGTCACTGTAAAGTTGGCACCTCATTTTCAAAAATCGTCTGGATGTATCTTCCAGAAGAAACCTTTCCCCAGCTTTTTTTTCTTTATTTTAATGAATTTTTGACTCAATGTATTCCGTACAGAACTTTGCCAGCTTTTTTTATCCGCGGTTCTATAGTACGGGTAATGCTCAATGATATACGAATAGATGCCATTCAATACTGAATAAAGGTTTCGGTTTCTGTTTCGGTTTTCTAGCTAACAAAAGTATCGGAATTGGGCAAATTACAGTCTTTTCGGTATTGATTAAAAAAAATTTTTTTATTTGAAATTTGTATTAAATTAAATTATTTACATTTAGATTTATATTTAGAATCGGTACTTTATTTGCCCCAAGGGGCCTTAAAGGGCGTTTTTAAGGAACGTACCCAAATTTTTACATATTCTCTATTCCCATAAAAGAAACACCTGGCCATTGTGCGACTTCACAAATTAACACCCACCCTCCCTTTCTCTTTATATATTTCTAGGACCTAGACCAAACGAAAATAGTCTATGTGAAGTTGGCACCTCACTTTCAAAAATCGAAAGTTTTATCAACAGTTCTATTTGCACCCGCAATAGTTCTACAGTTCCTGATAATTTTTAGAAAGAGTTCCGTTGATTTAGTTAAAAAAAATGAATTTTGAAAATATGAGGTGCTAACTTTCCGTAGCACCTCATGTTTCGAAAAAATTAATTTTGAACATGATATTTTATAGTTCTCGAAGAGTTCTACAGTTCCTGATCAGATTTAGCAATAGTTCCGGTCATTAAGTATTTTTAAACAAATTTTTAATCTGATTGCGAGCACCTCAAATTCCAAAAAAAATTGATTTTTACCATGAGATTCTATAGTTCTCGAAGAGTTCTACAGTTCCTGATAGGTGTCAGCGACAGTTCCGGCCTTTAATTATTTTTAAACAATTTTTTAATTTGACCGCCAGCACCTCATCTACGAGAAATACGGGGTGCTGACAATTCTGATCGTTTTCTTCAGAGTTCCCGGCAGTTCTCACATAGTTCCGAGCATTTAAATACGTTTTGACAAGAGTTCCAGCTATTCACTGTTTTTAAACAATTTTTTAATCCGACCGCCAGCACCACATCTACGAGAAATACGGGGTGCTGACAATTCCGATCGTTTTCTTCAAAGTTCTCGGGAGTTCTCACATAGTTCCGAGCATTTAAATACGTTTTGACAAGAGTTCCAAAGAACTCTGAAGAAAACGATCGGAATTGTCAGCACCCCGTATTTCTCGTAGATGAGGTGCTGGCGGTCAGATTAAAAAATTGTTTAAAAATAGTAAATAGCTGGAACTCTTGTCAAAACGTATTTAAATGCTCGGAACTATGTGAGAACTGCCGGGAACTCTGAAGAAAACGATCGAAATTGTCAGCACCCCGTATTTCTCGTAGATGAGGTGCTGGCGGTCGAATTAAAAAATTGTTTCACACGGCTAACCTGGGGGCTAACCATATTCGTGATGTTGTCACTTAGATAGTCCATCGATCTTACATGGCACTTCTAAATTTCACAAACACGTTATACTTTCACAAGTGCAAAGTACGATTATTCCGATCGAATTATTCTGATCGTGACGAGCGCGAAATAAAATTTTACGAGACGGTTTTGTCGAAAAAATTCGACGTTGGTTCGACGGGACGCCGCATATTTTTTCGAGAGAAAACGACGTCGCGTTTTACGGCGCTGGTTTTGATTTCTTGCACAGTCTTCTCGTTTTCCCAGTATTTGGCGAACACGAAGCAGTTCAGATTTTCTGTGCTTTTATCTAAATCTGACTGATAGCTTGCGATCATTACATTTTATTTTCTCGAAATAATATAATTTGACCCAAGTTTATGACCAATGGCAAAAGTGGTTTTCAAAAACTCAAATGATAACTTAAAAAATAGAAATCTACAATAATATCATTTATCTAAATTATTTTAATACACTCTTAAGCATGTGTCGCCAAAAATTGGAGGTATACGTTGAAATAAAAACCCTACGTAATTACGAGGGACATAATTACCATCAAAAATAGAAGGGAAGATGGTACCTCGAAGTCAGGAAGTACGTTACGTATTTTCAATTTTTGGCGATACATGCTTACCGCATAATGTACTCTTAAGCATGTGTCGCCAAAAATTGGAGATACACGTTGAAATAAAAATCCTACGTAATTACGAGGGACATAAGTACCATCAAAAATAGAAGGGAAGATGGTACCTCGAAGTCAGGAAGTACATTACGTACCTACAATTTTTGGCGACACATGCTTAAGAGTTTACATACCTGCATTACTTGTTTCTTCCAGTTTTTTATCAAATAACGGATACATGTTTTGTCGGTGGATGACCACATTATATACACAAAATAAACGATTCTGCTGCTGTATCACTGTCTAATTTGCGAATGTATTCCATGCATTCGCACTGTGACTCCCGGCACACACCGCGAAATACTCCGCGAATGTCACTGCTTGTGAATATATTCATATTTATGTTAGTTGCGTAAATAATAAAACAGTCGTATAAAACGGTGTAAGAATCCTTTGTTCGAGCAACGATATGAAACGTCCGCGTCGATGCCACCTAGTGGCTATGCCACTGCTATTCGCGAATGTTTTTTGTTCAACAAATGTCGCGATCATGCATGGTTGACGCCGAGTACCTCGTATACGAGGTACGTATGTAGGAGGTACATTTGTACGAGGTACATATGCACGTACGAGGTATGTATGTACGGGGTACATACGGGAAGCCCCCTAAAAACTGTACCTCCTAAAAAATTGTACCGTGAATTTATAAGTGCGGTGCTTCCAATCGGTACCTCCTTCTTTATCAGTACCTCGTGTGTATTCCGTACCTTGTGCTATACTGTACCGGGAAAAGTATCTCCTAGCAGTATGTAACTTGAAATGTCATTTCTATTTAGAAATTAGTACCTCGAATTTGGAGATACTACGCGGTACATGCTTAAGAGTGTAATTCTGTGAGGTCTCTGAGATCCCATCCACATTTGTTATCGTAACTTCAGCAAAAATTCAATTTATTTATTTATTTTTTTAATCGATTGAGAATCGATCCATGAATAGGCCCATAATATATAAAAGTCGATAGAATTAAATCGATGCGTTCCGTTTCACGCATGATGCGCATAATGCATCATTTATCCTTGTTGTTCACCGAACCCACTCCTAAGAGTTTCAAGATATACGAGTAAAAAGAAAAGAATATAGGGGACAAAAGTGCAGAAACGCGAAAAAAAGGAAGTTGAGCTGGGGTCTTGGAGACTTCACTGTGTATACCTAGGGTTAACAAGCAGCACTGCGCTGCTGCATTCTCGATGCTGCATAACAAGGAAGAAATTGATATAATTCATATTTTTATTTAAAAAACCGTATATATGCAGCAC